AGTAAAATATAAGGGCTGAAGGTGGAGTATATATATGATGCCGAGGATGAAGTATGGAAGATGAAGAAAATGAAGCAAAATGTCCAACTCCTCCATTTTATACCAAAATGGCCGAAACAAAGGTTTGGAGATTAGCTCTTATTAAGACACTTGAAACATGCATAATAATGCTTAGGTGACTAAGCACCACCTTACTTAAGAAAGTGCCACGTTAATACTTAGTAATGAATAATTTTGGATCAACCTCCCACTTAATATAAGCCTCTACACGTACGGCATTTACTTGAAGATAACTTAACAATTCCATACCATTTTCCCACTTAATGCATAGCTACTTACATAATTCCGTACGGCATTTTAATATTAAGCTTGTATTAATTAATACTTAATCCCTCAATTATGTTTAATTATTTAATTAAACATAATGCTTAATTACCAAAATTATTTCGAACGTAAATGGTACGTCGAAAATAATTTCTGGTAATTTCGACTGAACTGACGGAAAATAATTAATTCCAAAAATTAATATCGGAACTAAAAATATAGTTTATACTGAAATTGACGGGATATCGCTGACTGAATAATTAATTCCGGACTCATTAACTAATTAAATGAATCGGAATTAAATCTGGAAACCTATTCGGTTACTAAAATAAGTAAACCGAATAACTTATCGACTAATAGTCGAACATAGAATATGACTGACTGATCAATCTGAACTTGAACATGACTATTTATTAACAAAGGCTAGCTTAAAACTGAAAGCTAGTATTTTCCTTTATTAATAAAATACGGGGCGTTATATGGGCTACTGCTGGAGAGAGGGAACGGGCTGCGCGGGCCGCTTGCGGGCTTCATAGCCCGCGCTGCTGTTGCCAGGGACAGGGAGGAAAAAATAAATAAATTTAGTAATGCAGGCACCAAGGATCGAATCCGCTACCTCTCACAACCCAAGAGCGCGTCATGCCACTAGACTACAGGCACTTCTTACAAGTTCGCGTACAAAATTTATTATACGAATTTTAAAGAGAACTGCGACTGTACTTGCAGAAACAGAGCTCGGTTGGACAACGAAATTTGACCAATTTCGACAGCATCACTCCCAACAGCAACAGGGTTTCGACTACTAAGTAAGGATACAAACATAACACATACAGCGTTTCGAAATACTTTTAAAAGAAACGAGTTTTGACTCAAAAACAAAATGACTAAAAATAACGGTTCGAACAAAAGAAAATACGAATAACAAAACGATAAGGCTCGAACATTAAACCGAGACTCTGAAATTTTACGAATAATCACAGCAACATAAAGGGGCTCTATTTCACAAAAATAGAGTCCAATAATTCCACGATATATCGCGAACAATAATCCGACGAACAAAACAAAAATACGAGTCGATTAATGAGCCGAACAGTCAACAATAAATCGATTCAAATAGCACGAATATCAACGAGCAACCACGAGCATGAATATATCGAGAAGGTTCCGAAATAATTTACCCATCTTTGAGAATTTACGAGAAATCGAAAAATGGGTCGGAACGAGACAGGACGAATGGAGCCTCGACGAGACTCGGAACTTTGAACCGGGGACTGCTCGCGAAAAGGAAGTCTCTGGAATCGCTGCACGTGGTCGGGGGGTGCTGCGACTGCTGGGAACTCGCCGGAATAAGGGCCTGCTCGCAGGCATAAAGTCGCCGGGATAAGCTTCTCGAGGGAGCAGCGATCGGACCTTGCAAGGATGGAAGCGCTCGGAGAGGTGCAGCGGTGGTCGAAGCTCGCTGGGTGATGGTGGATCACGAGTAGGACGACGGTGGTGATGGCCTGCGCGAAGAGAAGGCCGCCGGAAATTATGCTCCTGATGGTGGTGCGTGGCGAGCTGATGATGGTGATGGAGGACGATGGAGGCGACCAGATTCATGATGATGATCGCAAGCTCGATGCGACTGAAATCAATCGAAGGAGGGTGATGGTATTTGGGAGATTCGTCAAACAGAGCAGAGAGAGATTTGAAACGAATTTGATTTGGGATAATCTGAGATAAGGTCTGCACCACCGAGTCTTAAGTAGAGTGGGAGCGAGATGCACGAACGCACGATGGATTATCGCGAGAAAATCTCACCTGCAAATTCGATTGAACAATTTCTGCGACGCGAGAGGGAGAGAGAGGGGAGGATGAAGCGGATTTGCTATAATAATGTAATTGGGCCAAGGTTAAACAATTTAGTTGGGCCAAACTTAAAACAAATTGGGCCATCATAAAACAAGTAATTGGCCAAGGTTTTCTCCATTTGGGCTAAAAGTAATATGGCAACAAGGCCTAGGAATTATATATCATTGGGCTGGAAAACTAATCTCAATTGGGCCGGGAATAAAATACAATGCAACAACAAGAATTTCCGTTTAATTCGATTGGCGACGAATAATAAATAATTCGGATGATATATATATAAACACATTTCATTATTGTATTAATAATACACACTTAGACACATAATACTATTATTTAATTATAATAAGCATTTAAAACAATTAGACATTTAATGACTATAATGATAATAATAATAATAATAACAATTATGCAAAATAAATAATCTCAATTATTCATAAACAAACGGGGCATTACACTGAAGCTTGTCGTCACGTGCTCACCTTGAAGGTGAGGTAGTCGGAGTACGCTAGCAATACATCGAACGACCTGTTGAGGTCTTGTGTGTTGTTAGGTACGATGCGAAATTGTCGATACTCATGGGTATAGGCCAAGCCGGACCGGGTCCCTTGCAAGATGATGTACGCCTGAGCTCGGGCAGGACTGATCACCCTCCCAGGAAAGAAGGTAAACATATGAGAATAGGGCGAGTCGGATTTGGGTCCTGTATGTGAGTGTATACCTTTCGAGTATAGGGCGACAAGACTCATGCGAGCAGGGTCGAGTTTCGGAGGGGATACTCGGACCTCATGATTGAAAATTCCAGTGCGAGTCTGTCGTTTTCCTTTAGATGCGTGATCTTTCGCATTTCCGAGGACGAAAATAATTTAAGGAGGATAGATTGTAGAACCCCGTTCGATTTATAGAATTTCTAGGATTATTCTACTTAACGAACTTTATTTATAAGATTATACTTATTGTATTAGTCGCGACGTCAACTTAAATTCTATGTTAAAGTACTCGATCGTCTTATTTATTGTTCGACGTTCGACGATTTCGGTTTAACCGCGTGACTCGAATCTGAGCCGTTTGAATTTTGGATTTTTTCCAATTTTAGTTTAATTAATGGCATTGCTTTTAATAGCTTGACTGAGTCGTAATCCCGGATTTAATCCGAATCGTTGAATCAAAATAAGAATTAAGTATATGTCCTTGTTTATTTAATTTTCCTAATAAATTACCTAATCGAAAATATGGATTAAGAGGATATCCTCGTCCTCTTAATTCCTCTTTGTGTGTCTTATACGTGTTATTTGCTAAGCGTTATTTTACTAAGGTCCAATTTATTCTCCTAAGTGCACCTTTTCTCGGCCAACGTAAGCTTTCATCCGGCCCAAGTGACGTTAGACTAAGTAGCAGCCCAAGTAACCCTTTTCTTTTGGCCATGCCTTAATTTTCTCGTTCTAGGGAAATCGCCCCTCATCTCCTTCCTCCTCAAAAATTCTCGTTGTCTCTCTTCCTTCTGGGCAGAATAGAGCAAAATTCGACCGGCCGTTCACCTCCGGCGACGAAGCAGCACCAGGGGCGAACCGAGGGGCACCATTTTCACTTGCGATAGCCCGCGAGCGAACACCCAACGACCCGCGTTTTACAACCTTCGTGCGGCTAGGCTATTTTGGAGACGTCGAGCAGCAGTCCTCCACGGCCAAGCAAATCTCTCCAGCGACCGTTCGTAGCAGCATCTTCTTCCTTGCGGCCTGAGCCAGCGAGTTTTCGTCGGCCATGGCGAGCAGCAGCAGGCGAGCTTTCCCGACCGGTGGTTTGCA